TACATAGAGGCCTACACATGTAGATTATGAATTAGAATATTACCAATGAAGTTTGACATTTCTCTCCCTAGTTTCTCTCCCCTCCCTCCCTTCACAGAGGCTACTACTAACCAGAATGTCATGTCAATCCCTCCTACATGTGTGAACATGCATCAAGAAGAGAGACCTGCTTGGCGTGTTTCTGAAAGTCCACACACACTCATTGTCCATCTGTCCCTTTTCACGCGGCATCATTTCTGAGGCTTATCTGTGCAGACCCGTATCCGGTGTCCCCGGTGTGATTCATTTCCCTTCCTCCGCTGATGGGTATGGAGATTGTCTCCTTCTTTGAAAAAGTGCCTGTGGGCATTCCTAGACAAGTCTCCCTAGGGCTTGTACTAGATGGTCCCTCCCAAATGATCTCGCTGATCCACGTGACCTCCTTGGACTGCCACACAGTTCCAGCGTGGGGACACCAACGGCAATCTCCACCGGCAGCCTCTGAGTGTACCCACTGCTCTATGTCACGCTCACTGGACACTCACACTTCCCCATGCTGGCCAATCTGAGAGGTACCCCAAAAACTCTCAGGGAGGCTGAACATCCTTTCTTATGTTTATTGGCCCTTTGAAGTCTCTATCTATATACTTCCCATTTTTCTACCTGGGACTTATCTTTTTCTTATTGATACATGATCTTGATAACAGATACATTTTTTTTCCCCCTAGCTTTTAAGATAATCCACACCCTTGCCTGTGTTCTCATCCTATACTTTTCCTGGTCTGAATGTGTTTCATCCTTGCTGTATCTTTGTTACACAGGACTTTTAACCTATCAGTCTTTACCTTTTTTATTTGTTCTGTGTTGTAAGGAACCCTTTCCCAACGCCATAAAGGTATTTCCCTATTTCTTTAAAAAATTTTTTTTTCCTTTATGGATTTTAGAGAGAGAGAAAGGGAGAGGGAGAGAGAGAGAACCATCAATGACAGAGAATATCAATTGGCCACCTCCTGCATGCCCCCCACTGGGGATCAAGCCCACAACCTGGGCATGTGCCCTGACGGGGAATTGAACCAGCGACCTCCTGGTGCAGGGTTGACGCTCAACCACTGAGCCACACCGGCCAGGCACGTATTCCCCCTATTTCTAAAAGTGTTACGCACATTCGGTCTTTCATCCTACCTGGGATTCACCGTTAGGCATGGGAAGTGAGGAGCTGATGGTTATTCCCTGGGGACAGCCAGCCCGTTCAGTACCACTGACTGGACTACCCAGCCCTCCCTGTCCACCTACAACTCTTCTGCCCACACGTACAAGCTGCAGATGCCTGGGTCTGGCTCAAGTCCATGGTGGGCGGGACCATCACGGGCCAAGGTCAAACCCTGTGATGACCACAGTGTGATGGGGCGTTTCTCTGGCTGAGCACACCCCCGCCCCGCCCCGCCTCCTTGGAGCTGCTACGGGTATTCCAGGACCTTGTTCTTCTAGCTGAGTTTTAGAATCCATGTGTGTGACTTGTTTTTCCATAGAAAATGGGAAAATGTTGCCGCTTCCATTGATTACACTGAATTAACAGATGAACACGGGGGGCCTGTGATAAGTCCTCTCATCCATGAACATGATCGATCCCTCCAATACTCAGACTTCCTTTGTGTTAATACTTCTTCAAACATTCTTCTAATTTTCTCCATGAAAGTCTCACTTAAAACATTTTTTGTTGTTGTTAATCCTCACCCAAGGACATTTTTCCATTGATTTTTAAAGAGGAAGGGAGGGAGGGAGGGAAGGGGAGAGAGAGAGAGAGAAACATCGATTCGAGAGGCACATCGATCGGTTGCCTCATGCGTGCACACCCTGAACAGGGCCAGGGATCGAACCTGCAACCCAGGTAGGTGCCGTTGACCAGGAATCGAATCCTCCACCCTTCCGTCCAAGGGCTGATGCTCTAACTGCTGAGACAAACTGGCCAGGGCGAAAGTTTCACTTTTTAAAGATTTATTCCTAAGTGTCCAATAGTTTCTATGCTAGAATAAGTGATAATTTCTCTCTCTCTTTTTTTTTTTTTATCCTCACCCGAGGACATTTTTCCATTTTTTGTACAGATAGAGTGGGAGGGAGAGAAAGGAAGGGAGAGAGAGAGAGAGAAACATCGACGTGAAGGGACACATCGAGTGGCTGCCACCCGCACGACCAACCAGGGCCGGGGACAAACTGCAACCGAAGTACGTGCCCTTAGCGGGAACCGAACCCGGGTCTCTCCGGACCGCAGGCCGACGCTCTAACCGCTGAGCCAAACTGGCCAGGGCAGTGATAATTTCTCTTAACTGCTCAGATGTTACCGTTGTAAAAGTACCGTTGATCAAGCAGCTGCTCAACTCTATCACATCTGATTGACTATCCACGCAGTTCGTCTTGTCACCTGTCAATAGTGACACCTGAGCCCTCCAAAGTATCATCCTTCTTCTAAGGCGTGCTGCATTATGGGTGGGTGGGGGGGTCTCTAGTGCGATGACGAATAAAGGACCCAGAAGAGGCAAAGGTGTCTGGTTCCCGACGACGCCTACTTTTCCATGTCGCCAGACTTTCAGAGGAACCCACGAAGCGGGAGAGGTGAACAGACACTGGCCTGCTACCTTGGCACCGCGTAAGATCAGTGGGAATGGGTCACCAGATGAACGAAGGAAAGGAAAAAGAACCAGGCCAGAACTGACAGGCGTGCTAAGACCCATAGCAAAAGCAGGCTGTGAGTCAGGGCCGGTACCAGGAACACTAATTGCCCATTAAGGGCTTAGGGGAAGTCACACAAAGGGGACCTCAGACCAGAGAACGTGGCCGGAGACAAAGATCGGGCACCGCGTGTCGGAGGTAACACACGCTCACTGTGTGGACACGAACACCTTCCATTCCGGCCTCACCTGTTTACTTACCCATAAATCAAAGCTAAGAATATCTTCGTCTTATTTACGAGGCACAAATCCTCCTGGCTGAAGAGGCAAGGAGGTTTGTAAAGAGTCCTTATTGAGTAGGCAGAGGCTGGACCGCTCCAGGCCTTTTCCAAATTAGAAGCGCTCTTGGGGGAGGGGGAGGAAAAGCTGGTGTTGGAATAAAGAGTAATAGGCTCTCCTTGAGTAATGACACACACACACACACACACACACACACACACACACGCCAGAGACGGGGGATCCCCAATCAACTAATCCCTCAGCCTGTGATGTCTCCAAAGCATTGCCCCGGCACCACGCCTACCAAGCTGTGTGACTAGGCTGTGTGGAGTCCACGGTACAGGGGTGGGGGACCTGGAGAGACCCCTTAGGATGTCCCAGGTGGAGGGGGTGCATGCTGGGAGGAACCTGGTCTGCCATAGGCAAATGAGGGCATCAGATCTGCTCAGTGAGTCTGACAAGGCTTGTTCCAAAGACCCAGCATTTTTTCATTCATTCTGTGGATGGAACTGTGTGTGTGTGTGTGTGTGTGTGTGTGTGTGCGCGCGCGCGCGTCTGGGGGTGTTACGTGCCCCTGTCTTGCAGCAGCCAGGAGTTCACAGCTCCACTTTAGTTCCCCTTCGATCACAGGAGCCAGAAACCCAGGCGCTTTGTAATTCACGGAGCAGTAAGAGTCACTTCAGCTACAGACAGGTTGCTGGGCCACCTGGGCGGAGCAGCCCCCTTGGCAGCAGCCCCTTGGCAGCAGCCGGGGGCCCCAGCAAACACGGGGAGGTAATGAACAGGGAGGGAACCTTCTTCACTCTGGACCATCGGCCAGGGAGATGCAGGAACTACGGAGAGAAACGAGCCAGTGCTTCCCAAAGACAAACTCTTCAATCACAGGGTGTCTGAAGAGACCCACGTGGTCAAAACAGTCACAAAGATACACAAACAGTGAGGGGGCGTTCTTTCAGACACCCTGGCACACTCTGACCCCCAAGTCCAACGGGGCTCAAGGGCAGAAGCTACTTTCCCGGAGGCCACACATCAGACACGAGCAGCACCAGGGGCAGACACAGGGGCAGAAGAAACGAGAGGCTAAATGTAACAGGAAGCAGGAGGGTGTAGTGACCTGGCACCTCCCTGTCACCTCTCAGGTCCCCCAAGTGCGCAGGTGTGGGACTGCACACTTCACTGTGCCCCTCCGCGGGACAGTCAGGATGGGTCCCAGCCCACTGCCACTACACAGGGTTGGGGCACAAAAAAGGGACCTGCCTTGGTGGTCCTTCATGCTCCCTTCATGCCCAAGGCTTGTCCTCTCTTGCTAAGTGACAGTGTTAGTGACAGCTGAGGCCAAGGGAGGGCTCCGGGCACACTGGCCAGGTCAGGCCCTGGCTTGGGGCTTTGCCACCAGTCAACACTGGATCAACCCAACAACCTGTTGATGGGTTGCACACCCACTGTCGCCACAGACGATGACAGATCCGGAAATGACTTGCCTAAGGTCACACAGCTAGTAGGCGGAGAGCTGCCATCGGAAGGACCACAGAAAGCCTGGAAACAAAGCTCACTGCCCCCACCCCACGCCGTCCTGCCCTCAATAGGTTCCAGCCACCCTCATGGCTGCAGGGCCCCGAGCTGTCCAGAAAGCCACCCCGATAGTGACTCCCAGACACAGGCACCAGACGGTCCTCCCTCCAGGAGCCTCAGACACTGAGGGGTCCCAGGGACGCCAGGCCATGTGCCTGAGCCTGTCACCAAACAAGCATCCAGCCGCCGGGGCGCGCACTCGGGATGCAGAGCCCCGCGCCACACGTCGAGGGCAGAGGGTCGCAGGCCCAGGAGAGCTCGTGGGCACGGAGGACAGCGCCCGGGGCCAGAGCGCGGGTCGCGCAGGTGTCGGCACGCGGTCACCCGCCCGGGAGCTGCCGCCGGGGCGCCGGGCCTGCATGGGCGCCCGCGCGGGGCACCCGGCGGTGTCTGCCCAGCGTCCCGCGCGCCCCGCGCCCCGGCGACGCAGCGCGGGGGCCGGGCGTCCGGGCCCCGGTCCAGGTGGCCCGGAAAGTTTTGGGCGCGCGGGCCGCTCGCACTCACCTGGCCCAAGTTGAGGTAGCCGTGCGCCGCGGCCACGCGGTCCGCCTCGGCCGGGCCGCCCAGCACTTGCACTGCCCAGTGGTTGGTGTAGACGGGGCGCGGCGGCGGCGCGGAGCAGGCGGCGGGCAGCGCGAGCAGCAGCAGCCAGCGCCAGGGGCGCGGCGCCAGGGCCCGCCGCCCGGGACCCCCCGCGTCCTCGGCGGCGGCGGCGGCGGCCCGGGGCGGCGGCCGGGGCCCGGGCGCAGGCGGCGCGCGCGGACGCATGGCAGCGGCAGGCTCGCGCGGCGCCCGAGCGGCGAGTGCGCCGGGGGGTGGGGTGCCGCCTTTTAAAGCCGCTCCGCGCCGGGAAGCGCCGCCGCCGCGGGCGGGAGCGAGGGAGGAGGAGGCGGCGGCGCGTTCCCGCCCGCGCGGCCCGGGGACGCCCCTGCGCCCGCGCTCCTGCCGCCCGCACCCGGCCCGCGGCACGTCCGGGACCCGAGCCGCCCCCGGCGGGAACTTCTCGCACACTTTGGGGCTCTTGGGACCCAGGCGCAGGGCGGCCCGAGCGAGCGGCGGCCTTGACCCCGCGTGATCTGCTGGGAGGAGGGAGGGAGGGAGGGAGGGAGGCCCCGGGGCATCCCAGGTGAGCCGGGTTCCCGGAGAGGTGGGGGCAGGCCGCGCCCTCCCACCTGTGGGGCGGCATTCTGATGGCCTCATTCACCCGGTCGGGTTTGACCTCCTTCACAGGTGGCCCTGCTCAGCTCAGCTCAGCGTGAGACAGTGGACTTGCAGAGGTTCTGGGTTCCAGGAGAAAGAAGCCACAAGGAAGGACGGGGTCCGAGCGCTGCCCCCCCCCCCCGTTCCCCCACAAAGAGCCCAGATCGAAGGGACAGTTGAATTGGGCAAAGAAACAGACAGTTAGCTGGGCTGCCTGAGTGTCCAGGAGACACCTAGCGGTCCGGCCAGGGCTCCAGCCCACCTCCGCAGCCGCCCCGAATCCCCCCGCTGCCGCCCCGTATCTGTGATCTTGGAGAGCGCCGGACTCCACCTGCAAGTGTGACAACAGTCCTTACCCCGTCGGGCTGGTTGGAAGCGGACAGGAGCTCCTGGCATGTACTAAGCTGTCGGTAAATGTTAGTGTTTATGAGCCCTGGGCCTGTGACGTGCTAGGTGTTCCCTAGAGGTGCAAAGACTCTTCGGAGCTCCCATGAGCTGGGCCAGTGCGTGGGAAAGTGAGGTGAGTCACCCTGGTGTCTGCCTGGAGCAGGTGAGGGTTTGCTGCCACTGGAGAATGACAGAGGTGCTCACACGGAACACGCCACGGGGGACAGGCGAGTCCGGCTTTGGGGTCTCCTCTCCATTCCTCCCGAGATCCTGGTCCCAACTGGCCCCATGGGGAAAGTCAGCCTTTATCCTTGTTCCTACGGAAAAGAGGTGGGCCCTGGCCGGTTTGGCTCAGCGGTTGGAGCGTCAGCCTGCGGAACAGAGAGACCCGGGTTCGGTTCCCGCTAAGGGCACGTGGCAGCCACTTGATGTGTCTCTCTCACATCTCTCTCTCTCTCTCTCTCTCTCTCTCTCTCTCTCTCTCTTCCTCTCTCTCCCTCCCGCTCTATCTGAACAAAAAATGGAAAAAATGTCCTCGGGTGAGGATAAAAAAAAAAAAAAAAAGAGGTGGGAAGTGGGGGGAGGCTGACCTGAGTCTGTGTCCAGGAGTGCCCCCTTTTGTTTGGGGTGCTGTATGGAACCCCCTGAGCCTGCGGCTGGGCAGAGAGGGTGGTGGTGAGGGTGAGGGGCTGGCAGGGGCTGGGAGAGAGCAGGACCCACACTCCCAGGTCCCTTCCAGCCTCCCCCTCAGGAGCCCTTTGGTTTCATAACCTGTATGATTCATTCAGCAGACATGAGTCACCCCAATAGAGGTGGGGGAGCAGGAGGCGTGGTGGGAGGCCCTACAGGGACAAGTCAAATCCACAAGGGCTCCTGCCCGGGGCCCCTCTTTGAAGCTGGGGGTGGATTTCCCGAACATTCTTCCCTTTTCTATACTAGATGCAACTTCACCCCCTCCCCTCCCCCCGCCTAGAGGAATCAGCTCCCCGGACAGACACGCGAGGCCTGCCCCACACTGCAGAATGCAGGCCCCGTGTGTCTCCCACAGACGGCCTGGACACTCACTTGCCCTCCTACATGAAGACAGTAGGTCCTAACAGCTCTGGTCTGGAGACCACAGCACCCTGGCTGCCCAGACGAGGTACACTGGACTGAGTCAGGGGGCTGGATCAGAGATCTCGCTTTGTCACGTACCAGCAGTACATCTGGGTGACATCTGTCAACTGTCTGGCCCACTGCTTTGACTGTCTCTCAGCCTGTCCCTTCTTCAAGTATGGGGCCGTCTTTACGCTAAGCTAACGCTGCACAAATCTAAGGAGTCACGAAGCCGCCCCTGGGAGGGCAACCCCCAACCAACAGTGGTGATTCCGACAGGCAGATAGGGCTTCTCTAGAAGAATTTAGTAGATGAAGGATTCAGCCCCCGGGCCTGAGAGGAGACTAAAGCGTGTCCACATTTTGACTTGGAGGGATCTGAATTATTTTATTAACAGCACATGGCCCAGGAAGGTGACAGGGGCCTGCTCACAGTCCAAAATTGTAGAAAACGTCAATACAGAGATGCGCTGTCTATACTGATATCTCCCCAGACCATGCACTGGGAAGATGTTACTGAACCACGTGCTCTATGCCGAGTGGGTCCCTCACAGCAAATGCAAGACCGTGCAGCCGTGGCCAAGGGGTGCCCAGTGCTGCCCAGAACCCCTGGGCAGCGGAGACTTCACACAGCCTCTTGGGGTGTGTTGAAACAGAATTTGATCCAGAAATTGCTCCGATGGAGGCAATAGGCACTTTATTGAAAAAGCTGCATTTGGGGGAACGTGTGAAGTTCAGTGGCGGGGTGCATTCTTCGTGGGATGTCCACTGGGCACCACCTTCGGGATGTGGAGACCACCAGGCCCGGAGCCCAGCTTCACCACCCCCCGGGGCAACCTCACGCGAGTTGCTCCGTCGTCCCTGCTGGAAGTGGCTGTCCCCGTGCAGGGGGCGGTAAGGTTCCTTGCCCAGCACCCAGCACTGAGTCAGAGCCCAAGAAAGGTGACACCAGTGATCTCTGCTGCTGGACACCTCCAGTGGGCTGGCAGGGACACCGAGAGGGCCGTCCTTCAGCCGTGCCTACCTGCACACTGTTCACACGTGAACATCCCTGAGATCAGGGAGCATCTCGTAGCTGGAGCCTTGCAGGGACCACTGGTCTAGACAGAAACTGAGTTCCAGGGAGGGGTGTGTAGTTCTGCCAGTGGTCTGGGTGCCGCTCCTGAGAGCCCTTGGGGGCCACGAGGGGGTGTGCCCCAGACTGAGCTCCAGTTTATGGTCCAAATAATCCGCATAGAGTACCCTCCCTTTCCCCTGGGCCAAGGTAAGACTGGGACTCCCTGCGGTCCCTCTGCGGTGGCTCATTTCTCACCCCTCCAATGCTGACAGCAAGCTCAGCATTGGTGTGGCTCTGCTCAGGGTCCCCTGTGAGATTCCCAACATGGACATTTTTCTCCTCAGTAACACATGAAATATGGACTCGTCTTCCCGTGAAGGGCGTCCCTTAGATTTGATGCCTCCAAGACATATTGCAGCCAAGACACCGGTTTAGCTCTGCAGTGTGTCCGCCCTTTTTCCTCGTAGCATCGGTTCCCATCCCGCGGCAAAGGTCCCGAGAGTGTGGGTGTTTGCGTGGAATCCGTGGGAGGCCGTGGGTGTGAACTCAGTTTGAATTTTCTGATGCATCCTTTCTCCCAGAAGCATACCGGGGTGCTTTGGACCGCATGGCACTCAGAGGTACAATGCCCCATGGGACTCAGGCACGCCTTAGAGGTGACAGCCCCCCACCCAGCCTGGCTAACACACATGGTCCCCGACCTGGGGGCCTGGAGACGAGGGAGGGCCCTCCACCCGGTTGCAGAGAAACCTTTCCCTGGGCCAGAGGTTTCTACAAACCAGGGGTCCCCCACTGGCTCCCTTTCTTTCACCCCCAATCCCACCCACAGCTGCCCCCTCTAGCAGGGTTGGGTCAGGGGTCTTCCCCATCCTTCTCTGGGATCCGCCTTCCACTTTGCACTAATGCCCGTGTATCTTGCCTCCTCAGTGTGGGCTCTGTCTGATTCATTCTGGGTCCTACTTTTTTCTGGGGGATATGTGACCATCTGGGGTGAGGAGGGCATGGAGAAGCTCAAAACCCACTCCACTCCTACCCACTCTGTGCCTCTCTGGTTAGACTCTCCCTTTGTATCTAGATCCTCACTGCAAAACAATTACCCCTGATCTAGCAACTATGTATCTCAGTGTCTGTTCCATAAATCCCCACGCGGAAATTTAGTGTCACACAAGGAATTTTGGAGCAAAAAACGTTGAAACTCCCCGAGATGCTCCTCCCAACTAAGAGTGAGAGCTTTGCAGCTGAGCTGGTTTCCCTTTTTGCCTTGGCTTCCAGGACGCTCAGGGCCCCATGGGATAGAAAATCACAACTGTTTATTTCCGCTCTGCTGCGGCAGTCAGGGTAGCTTTGGTCACAAGTCCCCAACTCAAAGAAACAATAAGAAAAGGTCATTATCTCACAAACAAATTTGGAGATAGGAGGGTCCAGGGTTTTTAAGATTCGGTGATACCTTTTTATACTTTGCCTGGCGTTTTCCTCGTGTGCCTAGATCCCGCAAGGAAGCCTCCAAGGAGGGGAGAGTCCCTCATCCTTAGGGTGGGGACACCCAGAATCCCCAGCCCAGGCCCCACTGACCTGAACTGGGTCTCAGGGCCGCCCCTCTGCTAAGTCATCACTGACCACATCAAGGGGGTTACCCAGGTAGGTTTTTGTCAGTCTTGGGGTTTCTCCTGGGGAAACGCTCCCCAGGCACATGACGGCCCCGGACTGAGCACAAGCAGAGTTCTGTTAGCGAGACGCAGCTCCCGACGGCCTCAGCAGGTCTGTCCTCGCTCCCTTTCTACTGTGTCACCTTCGCGTAGATTCTGTTCCGCACACAGCAGACGCCCAATGACTCTTTATTGACAGGAAGGAGGGAAAGAAGAAAGGGAGGGAGGAAGGCAGGAGGAGGAGGAAGGCTGAAATACTTAGAATGAATACATCCTAGAGATTAAACCACACGGATCCCTGTTAAGCAGCTATGACCCTGACCCCCATCCCCTCCCCAAGGTCACGCTGCATTTTCCCGGGGCTTGCTCCTGCGTGCAGACATCACCGGCTGCAGGGCGAGCCTCAGGTTCATTG